CATGTTCAGCTGAGAACTGAGTGGGGGCAGTGATGAAGATTTTGCCCAAACAGAAACCTGAAAAGCAGGTGAGATGGCAGGAGGTAAAGATAGTGAGTTATCTAAATTAATTAGGTAGACTGTGTTTCTTCCTGGCCTAGGGGTGTTCATAATAGGCTGGCTGAGTGTGTGGCATCAAAAGTGCTAAATTAGTGGCTGAAATGAAATACTGTAGACCATAAATTAGGTTGAGGCTGATAGTGCTTCTGAAAAGCTTGCTGCATTTACTTTCTGGCATACTTTGTTCTCGGGTAGTGCCTCTAGTTCTATGGTTCATGTGCTATGTTCATCTCACTGCTTCTTGGTATATGATCAACTGGTAGTTTTTAAACAGGGAATTTGAGGTCATCTGTATAATAAGCACATTTTGAAGGGAGTGGAAGCTGAAAAAGTCTCACAAACAACCAGAAAACAAGCTACTGTTGTAAGTGTCCTGTGGAATATTAGCATTCATGTTGAGTGAAGGCACCAAAATGGGCAGATCCCAAAAGATCGGTGGGAATAAATACCAAGAGTTTTCCTCAGGATGTTGCTATTCCATAGCCCATGAAATCACATTTTAGAGTATAAAAAGTATATCAGCCCAAATAGTGGTCTACGAATGGTTCTTATTGCTTAGATTTGCAGTATAGAATCTTGGTTTAGAATATAGAACCTTTATTGTTTAGTCTGTGTGTAAGCAAGAGAAAACACATGGAGACTTCAGTAGGAGAGAATGAATGGAATCTGAAAAACATCACTAGAGTTTGACTGTGTCTTTGGAGATGCACTTTTTCAAATCTGTTGGCTCTGTATCTTCTTTTGGTGCATCATGACTGCTTCCATTTCTCGTATTGATGGTCTATGCCACACTTCTCTGGGAGTTTCCTGGCATCACAGGTCAACCTTTCATTTGTATAATGTGTAGTTGTTAAGTGTATGAATGAACTCTGGAGCTAGACTAGTTCTGTCACTACTAACTTCAGCCAAGTTATTTAAGTTTTCTATGCCTCTGTCCCCTTGAATATAAAACAGTTACGAAGAAAGTATTTACCTTTGAAGCTGTTCATAGAGAGCTCAGAATAGTGCTGGTCACTTATAAACATGATAAAAGTATTAGCTAATATTGTTGTGAATTGCTTTAAACTTCTAGCTGTTTGGAAGTGCTCAAGGTTGTCCTGAAACTACAAAGTCTTTCTCACTCAACTTTATAAACTGCAATTCAGTGATAGAGGTTCTCATTCATTTATTTAACATTTTCTAAATAAATGTGTCAAATGCAATGTATCAGACACTATAGTAATATGTAAGACATAGGAGAGAGAGGGGGAGGGGGAGGGAAGGGGAGGGGAGAGAGAGAGAGAGAGAGAGAGAGAGAGAGAGAGAGAGAGAGAGAGAGAGAGAGAGAAAGAGAGAGAGAGAGAATATTGGAAACTTAGCCAGGGCGGAGGTATCAGAATAGATTTCCAAGTGGTATGATTCCCTCTTGAGCTGAGTTCTGACATCTGCATTGGAGTTGTCTAGGGAGCAAAGGTGTTCAAAGGTCAGTGAGTTGAGATGTGTGGTAGGACTTTCCAGGATGAGTAAAAGCCTGGAGATGAGAGTGGGGCACAAGTATAAAGGGACTGGAAAATGGTGGTGGTGAGAGATGAAGTTGAAGAGGAAAGAAAGGATGAGATTATGAGGGCCTTTGTGTTATAATAGGAAACTTTGGACTTTAGCCTCATGACCGTGGGAGCTCAAAATTTTTAAATGGTAGAATGTTATGATCATATTTGTATCTAGGAAACCATTCTGTTGGCACTAGAAAGGATTTATTAGAGTTGGTGAGACTAGAGAGGGGAAGACAGTTAAAAGGCAATCACAGTAGCTGAGGAGAGAGAATGGTGACTTAAACTGTGGTAGTGAGAGTGAAATTTTATATAAGTGGAAGGATTGGAGAGCGATTAAGGAGATTGAGTCAGCTTTTAGGAGATTGAGTCTGCTTTATTATTTCTACTGCATAGGTCTCTACAATGATAAAAAATTCAGATATGGCTTTCTCTTCAGTATATCTTGTCCAATGACTTCTGTTAAAGGTTTCGTATATAAGAATGCTTTCTGTGACTACATGGTGGTGTATTTCATGTGCTTGCATGAGTTTGAGTGGTAAACAGTACATGTCAAATGCTGTGTTCAATAGAAGAAATCCATTATTCAGATGATTTCTTTTTGTGATTGCTTGCTGTCTCACACCGTCAGCCATACAGGTGGGTCTCAAGCTTTTTGTGTTCAGTATTACATAAGTGTTTCTGGTTGTCTGTTTAATGCTTACTCATGCTGGAAAATATCCTTGTCTGTCCTAGTGTCTCTGATGATACTTCAACAGCAAGGTCAATGCTTAGCAAACATTTGCTTTTTAAAGAATCTTTTGGGAACCTAGTTAAATAAAAGATTCCTAGTCTCTGCCTTCAAGTACTGTGATTCAGAAGGTGCAGGATTGAGGTCCAAATTTTCAATTTTAGTAAATGCTTTATGTGATTTGGAAAGAAATAAAAGATAACCTTATACCTGCTATACTCCTCAAACATTATAACTTTACTAAATTTGATTATTTGTAATTTACCTGATAGCTGAAGTAGAACTTGAGATAAATCTGTTACAGAAAACGGTTAATAAATTATTACTGCATTTTTACCTTTCACTATTTTTACAGCTTTAATCAATTTAAAATAACAAAGGTATGGAGCTTGTTAGATGAATGGTAAGATACTTCAAGACATTAGAAGTGCCTGGCATGATGTTGAGAAATTAGAATATCTCAATTATGGGGTAGGCATGAGTTGTATCTTGCTGTGAAATATATACAATTATGCGTATGCTAGTAGTGGCGGTGTATTCTGAGGCAGTGGGGCAGTATGTTTTCTGTAGTCAGGCAGCATCACCATTACTTGGGAAGTTGTTAGAAAAGCAAATTCTCAGCCCCCTCCTGACCTACTGAATCAGATCATTGCAGGTGGGATACTACAGTCTGTGTTTTAACAAGCAATCCAGGGGATTTTGACAAACATAAAAGTTTGAGAATGTTAAGTCTAGTGCACTTAGGTCTCTACACGAAGAATGTAAATTTGGGCTTTTAAAGTCTGGTGGTGTATTTTAAACTGTGGAGATGTTGTCTGGCTTATTTTGCTACAGTAAATTCATGTCCTTGAGCATATATAAATTAGGATTTGGTTTAGCCAAAAGTGAAACTAAAGAAAATTGGTTTAAAGGGTAGAAACTGATTTTTCTGTAGGGTACAAGTTTAGAAAAAGAAATCCAGCACCCTTGACCCTTAATGGTGTTAGAGACACAGGCTCCTTTCATGTTATTGCTCAGTTTTGAAAGCACTGAATTGTCAAATTCAGTGATTATCTCAGAAGGCTGTTCTGGCTGGAGCACAGACACCTACACTCCTGTCAGCTGGAAGGGAGAATGCAGAGAGGGTGCACATTCCACAGGAGATGCACATATGACATTCATTTTCATTCCTTTGGCCAAACTAAGCTGCTTTCACTTTTAGCTTTGCAGAAGGTGGGAAATGTAGTCTTGATTTTGTGATGTTTTATTGTTGTGAAATAGAATGGAAAAATTGGGAGATGGGCATAAAATGGTTGCTTCTGTTGATGTGGGAGTACACACTTATCTAGGAAGTGTATATTTCTGGCATGTTCTTTTTCTCCCCTCCTCCTCCTTCTTCTGTGCCTTCTTCTCCTCTTTCTCTTTCTCCTACTTTAACCTTTTTCTTATCCTATATATAGCTATTTATTACACTTTCTATCTTTCCATTTCAGATTTTAATCTAGTTCTCAGTCTTCTCAATGATTTGGGGAAAAAGAGATGCCTAATCAAACAGAAGTTATAGTGACCAAATGATTTTTATTATCTATCTAGTGCTGTCTGAATTTGGACATAATGTTTTCATGGCAAAGCTGTGCTCTTCTTACATGTCTTTATCTGCTTCTATATGTGATGTTTGTGAATGCATAAGAAAAATTCTCATTTTGTTACAGTGTTTCTTATGGTCCATTTTCTTAGAGTTTTTGAGTTATGTCATGTCAGAGAATGATTCCAGAACCTTTAGGCAAAATATCAGATTTACATGATAATATCAATGACTTATTTTAGATAGCTTTAAATAATTTGTTCTTCATTTTTTCCTACTGAATATTTCCTGACATTTGAACTAGACAATGGCTGAATACAAAAGTTTTATGTGCTCTTTAGTGGAGACACCTATTGCACAATGATTATAAAAAGGCTATGAATCATCCCTTTCTCTAAAATATTCAGTGCTTTAAGCTGATTGCTATTAGCTGTTCATATTATTTTAATTAGAGGAAAACATGACTGCTGAAAATCAGCTGAAGTTCTATAAATAAAAGTATCCATCTTGTGGAGTCAAATTTTAATTAACCTTTTAACATGATAACCTTCTACTAGAATTTTTCAGGGCTTGCAGCTATTCATTTTTCTCCAAAGCCATATGGGCTATTTTTCATCCATATGTAATTTAAATGAGAGAGAGAGAGAGAGAGAGAGAGAGAGAGAGAGAGAGAGAGAAAGAGAAAGGGAAAGTTATTTGTTAGTTTCTGGAATACAAACTCAGTGTTCCTTACCTATCACTTGAATACCTTTATCAAAATGGAAAGACAAGCAAATGATACAGTGTGGTGTGGTAGTGGTGCAAGGGACAGACCAAATAAAATAACTGTGTTTTCTTTTTTCTCATTTCTTTTTTTAATTTAAGACACTATTTGTATCCTGACCTGCTTTGAGCCTGTTTGGTTTTTTAGAGATAGAGTATTGGTGATTAAAGAAATGCAGGGCTGTAATTACTCAGAATCAGATGGTCCACTTTTTACCTCTAAGTCATTATCCACATGAAAGGTGTTTTCATAAGCTATTTGTTGGAAAATCCATATTTGACATAAATAAGCATTTTCTGTTGATTGATTTTGTAGGTTACTATGACTGAGTTTGTGAAAGAAATGTAAGATCAAAGACGAGAGGATGACTGGACTGTCTGAATTCACATCAGTCCCTGGGTGCCAGAAAAACCAGTTTTGAGGAAGATGTTTCTACTTGTTATGCAGTCAATGAAAGCCATCAAACACAACCATGGCAACCACTGTCAGAAGCTGACCTTAATAAGCAAAAGCATTGATATTAACTCAGTTTCTATGGTTATATTAAAAATAAATATTTCTCTAAGATTTACAACTCTCACACCTCTTCATGGTTATTACAGTAATAAAGTATCAACTACTTTAAATTTACTAAATTTACTTAAACACTAAATTATAAAGCTTTCTAGTTTGCAAATGACACCCTGTGTCTACAGTGACTGATTTAATGAGTCTAGTTTTAGTTGGAAATTATAAGGCTCTTAAATAACCACTGAATACATAAAACTGCACATTGCTAAAACTTTGCACTACTTTGACCACTGTGTTTCTGCGTTTTGTTAATATTCCTTCCTGAAACTCAGGTCCTAAGAGGAAAAATCTGTACATACATTGAAACAAATGGTAAAAACTACAGGCTCAGTGAAAGAGTCTGCAATGTTGAATTAAAGGAAACAAGGTATAGACGTGGAGTGGATCAGCCATAGATGCAGAGCATAGGTAGCTTCTGACTTGGCTTCACTCCCTGAGCTCCTCCAACCTCTACAAACACTTTTCCTTCCCCTCAGGCTAAGTCCATTTGATAAGCAGTTTCTGAAGTGGTTCCAAATAATCCCCATGTTTGGTATTTACACCCTGAGTAACCCTTTCCTCATGAGAGTAGACTGGATCTAGTGATTTGTGTCAAATGAATAGAATACACCAAAATTGCCTGCCACTTTTATGATTTGACTACAAAAGACAGTGATTCCATTGTGATGGTATTCTTTCACTTGTTGGCCACTCTCATGAAGTAAGCTGCCATGTTGTGTTGTAAAGTCCTTGATGGAGAGCTCCAGATAATAAAAAACAAAGGAGGGCTCTGACCAGCAGCTGTAGGAAAAGAAATCTTGCTAACTGTCACAAGAATGAGCATCAAAATGATCTTTCCCAGATGAGCCTGGGAGCTATGTAATGACTAAACAAACTCCTGATCCACAGAAAGCATGATGTAATTTCTATTTTTTTAAGATATCAAATTTTACATAGCACTAGACAAATAATATAGCTAGACTCTGAAACACTTATAAAACCCTGCCATGCAGAAGGCAAGTGAGGGTGGGAGGGAAGGGTCATGTCAGCAGAGAGGTAGAGAACAGTAGTATCCAGACATATAGATCAGAGAATGAAGAAAGGAAAGAGAGAAAGAGAAGCAATAAGAATAATCTTACCCAAAGGTCAGTGTTTAAACTGGAATAGGACAAAAACAATATGAAAACAGGACAATATGGAGATCATCCAAACAAGACAGACAGGCTGTACCATAGGCTAGACAAAGAAAACCTGGCTCTCAAGGTGGAACATACTGCAAAATCTGCTACTTCTCACAGGTTATTACAGATCAGAGGAATTACTATTGGAGTTTATCCTTTGTGCTCTTGGTATATCTCCCCATATGGTCCTTCATTAAAAAAATGATTGCAATATTTATACTATTGCAGGACAAATAGAAATCAGATTGTGAATCAAAATTTTTGTATCCCATAGTTCATGTTCTATCATATTTTATATTTCATACTTGATTTCAGAGTTGTCTTTTTCCTCTTATTCATGCAGATGTTTCAGGAAGATGTGAAGGGTGTGTGTGTGTGTGTGTGTGTGTGTGTGTGTGTGTGTGTGTAAGATAATCCAAGAAAAGTACTGGCAAAGTACTATTGGAAGCCACTTGCTGCAGCTGTTCCCAACTGGGTTGCCTCTCACTCAGCAAGGTTGGTATATGCAGGATCTGTCATGCAGAAAAAAGCATGTTTCTGCAGACATCTGTGCCCCAGCTGATAATAGCAAAGAGGTTTCAGCAATTGTCATTCAGATTGGATTTTCAGAATTCCATCAGAGGCAGTTGAGAATACTGTTTCAGGAATATAGTCAGTAATAATATGAGATCTCACATATAAAATGTTCTCTTAGGCCTGGTGAATTTGACTTTTTATTTTCAATAGGACTTGCTTTAGCAGTTTACACCCAAATCCACTAAATGAATAGCTTCATCTAACTGACAGGCAGGCTCTCAGCACTCCCCACTTCATGTGCTTCTCAGATATTCCAAAAGAGATTTGACTGGGGTGACAGTAGAAATGACAACTATAATCAGGGTCAGAGTTCCTGCTGCCCTTTACCCCAGTTACTGATCTGGCCATTATATCCCTGAAGATGGTCCCCTGGCCTACCTGTGCAGTGGAGCCGATCCACACTTCCTGTAGTGTGCTGTAAGTGTTGGCATGTTCTCAATGTTTTTTCACCTTCTTCCTCTTTGCACATGTATCTCTGCACCCAATAGGCCAATGGTACCCTGCTCAGAGTTAAGGTTTACTAGAGTTGACTGCCGGTCACCCACTTCAGGTGCTGCTTTCTACTGCTCCTGGAACCATAGCTTCCACCAGTAGTCATGTTGCTGAAAAGTTCACATGCTGAAAACATCTTGTGATTTAAAAAAAATTCTTTCTCCATGTCTTCATCTTGTCTTAGAGCTTGGTTTCTGGAGAAGAGTGGGGCATGGAAAAAGGAAACTTCTCTAGCTATGTCATTATAGACCCATGTATGCATATGAAAATATGATTATTATAAATATATTTGGACATGATTGTTATAGGTATATGAATAAAAGATAGAAAATTATATTTGAGTAAAGTTTCAAGTATTATCTGATTTCATTTTAATAGTTGAAAGTTTATCTCATACCACTACCTTCTTTTCTATTTCTTTTTATATAATAGTATCTTTTTAAAATTTTTTATATTGGTTATTTTGTAATTTTAAATAATACACTTGAAACTTTATCTTGATATGTCACTTTTAGATAGCTTTTTTTCTCCCTTATGCTAGATGAATCGCTATTCAAGTTATAAGGAAAAGACTGTTTTACAAACATTGGCACTAATACCTGTGTAGTTTCCCCCTACTATTCTGTGCATTTTCCCAGCAGTTAACGAAAAAGGAAGGGAAGTTTTGTGAACCTTTGTGGGTCTGAAAATATATTTATTCTATGCTTATCTTTAAATGAAAAAAATTCAAGGTTGAAAATCATTTTTGCTCTGAATTAGTAGGAGCTATTGATTACAAATGTCATGTTATACTGATTCACCTTTTTGTGAATGTCATATCTTTTTAAATGAGAATTGTTTAGGTCTGTCTTTTTATTATGGTATTCTGAAATGTCATGAAAATATGCTCTATTTTATTTTTATTTTATTTATTTATTTTGGTACCGGGGATTGAACCCGGGACTGTGCGCTGGCGAGGCAGGCAGCGGAACCACTGAGCTAAATCCTTGGCCCGAAAATATGCTTTATTTTTATAAAATTAATTATGTTTGTACCTTTCAGGGTTTTTCAAATCTAGAAATGTTTACTCTTTCATTCTGAAAATCTTTTTCTTTAATTCATTAAGTTTATTGGTACATTTTAGGTATACAATATGATGACATTTATCAATGGGAATTTGTACCTTTATATGACATATCCTGGTTCTTATTTTTCCTCATTTTCCTACCCTCCCTTCAACTCCTCCATCCCTCCCTATTTATAAAGACTTTGTTTCCGTTTTTTCCTTTTCTCATGCTTTTTCCTTTCCCTTCTTTCCTTTCCCCTCCCCCTCCCACTTCCCTTTACCCTTTGGATCTTTTCTTCCTATTTCACATATCTATTATACATATTGATCCTCATTTACGTTTTCAGTTTCTCACACGAGAGAAACTATAAACCTGCTGGAAGAGAGGTTAAGTAGAACCCTTGAAGACACTGGCATAGAAAAAGACTTCATGAACAAAACCTCAGTTGGATGTGAACTAGAACAAAGAGTCAACTGGGAGCTCATCTTATTAAAAAGCTTCTGCACAGCAAGAAAAATCACCAACAGAGTGAAGAGACAACCCACAAGATGGGAAAAAAATTTTTATCAGCTCTTCCTCAGACAAAGGTCTACTATCTAGAATATATAAAGAACTTAAAAAAATCAGGCCTCCCACATTTAATGACTCAATCCAAAAATTGGCATCTGAAATGAACAGGCATTTCTCAGAAAAAGAAGTAGAAACAGCAAAAAATCATATAAAAAATCTCTTTTTAAACATTATTTTTATCCTCACATATTCTTTCTGTTCTCTGGATAGAACCCATATTAATTGGCAATTACAATTCTTGGTTTGGTGTTCACAGTTCTTAGTTTTGGACTATATTTTCTATCTTCTTGATGTTTTGTTTACTTCTAAACTTCCATAGGATTTTTTATTTCAATTGTGTTTTTTGACCGTTAATCACTCTTCTAAATGTCACCCATTTTTAATTGACACAAAAGTGTACATTTCTCTAAGGCTTTACTTTGCATTTGGGTTTTAATTTGGAAATTACTTCCTGGGCTTTGTTTTGAATTTCTTTTCATTGTTTTGCTTACTGACTTCTCCTTATGTTCTGAAGCTTTATGGAGGATGTTTCATGGCCCTTATTGACCTTTATTATTAAAGCAAGGCCCTCAAATTTTTATTGGAAGTTCTGTGATTGCTGTTGTTTTCAAAGAGCATTCCTTGCTCTTGTGAAATTAATTCCAACTATGATAATCATGCAAGGCCTAAAACATCAGTATAAGGAAGTCTCTCTTTGGCTTCCTCTTTTGTGAATGTCTTAACAGGTATAGTAAAAATAAGATGAGTGCTGCTATCAAGTGCCATCTAACAGAAAGGCAGGTTTGTTAAAACATAATGGTGTGTCCTCATCAAACTCATTTACTGTGATTTCTCACTTTTCTTCAAAGTCAAAATGACTATGAAATATGAATGTTTTGAAATAATTCAAGACATTAAGGTAGCAATGATAATACAATAAAACCACAAAAGAAGATTTCCAGAATTGTTTCACATAGTGGTAAGAATGATGGGATGTATTCAAAATAAGGAGGAGTATTTTGAGTGGAATTAATGGAAAAGTGTCTTTTATTATAATGTATGTTTTTTTAATTTAAAAATTCATTTTATTATCATCACATCCGTGCCTCATTC